GCGTGAGGCGGTGGGGGCGCCCTGAACTCTTGCTGCAAGCTGAACGGGGGCGCTCGTCGGGAGACGTCGGATAGCTGGCTTTTTGGACTCCATGGTCAATACCTCGTGAGCACTATGTAAGACCTTCAATTGAGCGGAAGAAGATGGAAGAAGCCAAACTTTTGGGGGACCAGCTTGCTCATGTGTTTTCCTTCCAGTTCACTGAGACTCCATGGGATTTGCGTCAGGATGCTGGGATGCTTGTTTCATCCGTTCCTGGAGAGTTTTGGTCGTTTTGGTGATCACACTTCCTTTTTTGTAACAAGAGATGCAAGTGAATCTCTCCCTGAAGATTCACATGGACAATTGGACAATGCCGCCCCCAGAAAATCGGTAAGCCTTTGAGGGACACAACTGCTGTCATGTGTAACTCCCAACTCCTGGCTTTGAAACCCTGTACTGTTAGCTAAAAAATTGTCCAAACAGTGCCTATTAAGTCCCAACTGTTCTCTGAGGGCTTGAAGTTTACCGCTTTGAGTGCAGGAACCCATCAATTTCCCACACCCAACACTGCAGCCCACACCGCCCATACCAACCCCATTGGTCTTTCGGATGGATCTTCCCAAGGCGGAGCGTCAGGCCAATCTGGAACGGCCCGGAAACCCGTTTTGGGGATCGGGAGCGGGGCCGCCGATGTCGTCATGTCCTACGAGTCCATTCCAACACGGTGACGCCACGTGACGCCACATTGGAAACATGAGGTCGTCGTATTTGAAGCAGAGGAAAGATGAGGCGAGTTGCTGGCGCTTGGAAATTTGGGTGGGTCCGAAATTTGGGTTCAAAGATCTCCCCTCAATCAATACGTGTCAGTCTGTCTATGATCCGGGTCAATGATCCGTTTTACCTATTCTTGGGTGGAGGCTGGTACTTCCCTGCAGCATTGTTTGTGGGTTGTCAAGAGTCAAGAGTACAAAAATCTGGAACATCGAATCGTTTGGCTCCCAAATGCTCCCTTTTGGCTGACTTGCAGCCGCAAAAACCATCAACCTTCTGCAGGGGGTGTTCAGTAGCCTAGCACCACGCTTACGTTGGAGGGTGATGCGTTCACCTACCCTGCACCATCTTCACCATGGTCTGCGTCAGGCCAAGCGCAGGATGGAGGAGGAGCGCATGGCGCAGCTGGAGAAGTATCGCGAAGACTATGAGGTGGGCGCGAAGGAGCACAGAAGAAGTGCTGGATTTGATCGGTCATTGCAGGTGGCCGGATGTTGGAACATGTTGGATCTCCCTACCCATAAGTTGAAGATCATTCAATCCACGGAGCTGCTAGCGTCGCAGGCGCGTGCGGCACAAGAGGAGATGCTGCGTGCACGTTGGAACCCAATGGGCCGGCTGGTGAGGGGACATGCATGGAAATGACTCCCCCTTGAGCCCCCCTAAAGTGCCAAGAGGTGGGCGCGTGAAAGAAAGGGAAGGTTTGCCAGCTAGGGGTAGGCTTTTAGATCCTTTAGACTCCTATCATGAGAGGAAAATGGAACCCAAGCGGGTGGAGACTCATTGGATAGGTCGGAGAGATACCAAGAGGAGCAGGTCCGGCAATCTAGTTGTCCAATGCATCCCCGAAGTTGCTCATTTGTGACAACTGATGCACTGCGAAGGATCAAAGAGCCATAAGTAGTGCCATAAGTCTAGTGCTTGCCGTGCATAGCAGCCAGGTGAGTCTATTTAAGGGGGAGGATTTGTACTGCCAGCCATGGTGCATCAGGATTGAGACATGCGCCAGTTGCCGTGTGCCGAGCTTTTCTTGCGTTCTTAGGCACCGATGCATTGGTGGCCAAGATGGAGAAGGAAGAGATGGAGCTCATTCAGAGGTGAGAGAGAAGCAGTCAGAACGACCTCGAGATGCTGTGACGATTGTTTCGTATGGTTGCGAGGATGGCGTGTGCCCACCACTCTTGTTCAGTCTTGCTTCGGTTCAGGCCCCAATGAGAGATACAGCTTCTTGGATGGGCACCTGTAGTTCCACCCCATGTAGTTCGAGGCCACCCACTCGGTCGTTAGAAAGAGATCCCCTCCTTTGGACCCCTGGCACCTTGATCTAAGGAGAAAGACGACCGATGTCACTTCCAGTTTCATGATCACCTCGCATCCCTTGGAACGCCCAGCCCCGCTCCGCGAGAACCGGGACAGGTTGCAGAACACTCAGACCGTGCAGCGCAATGCCTATAAGGAGTTGGAGGCGCGCTTGAAAAGGGTCCGGCGAGCACGTTTCGATCGTTTGTTTGAAACTTTCTTGGTGGGGGGGAGCGTTCATCAATACTAGACTAGACGCATTGGAACCTTGGTAAGTTTACAAGTAGGGTGCTGAGGCCCTTTGCTGGGGTGGAAGTTTGTTGCAGCGCCACTCTTCCACCCAAACGAACGACAGGCTATTGACCTTGGCAAGGACGACTTCTGCCAGCAGTGGAGTGAACCATAGACTTGCAGGGAACAACTGCCAAAAACCCAAAAGACCAAGCTGCCCCAGTGCCCTTTTGGCTTAACTTTGCTGGACTTGTTTGCTTGCACCAGGCTGCTTTGGGCCAGACCAGCCAGCAGATCTCTTCTTCACGAGGTGGGGCGGATCCCGTTGCAATAGATTCTTGGACTCCATCCAGTAGACCAGGACCTTCCAAGAGGTGTCCGTAAACAACCTCTTAGAGGCTATATCAGGTGTGTACTTCAAATCCCTTCCCTCGACATACATTGTTTGCATGTGTGCGGTTCTTGCTGCAAGGAGCTTTCTTCCATGTCGTGCCTTCAGGGTCATGGGATCACAGGATCAACGACCCCTCCATGAAATTGGATTCAATTGGGGTGTCCGAAGTGACCTGCAGCAGTCGGTCAACAAGATCACTCTTTGGGACCCAGGCCTGTAACTGAACCATCATCCAACTGTGCCCTGGTAAAAACTAAGGGGAATCGACCCAACATGACCCAACCCACATCCAGCATCCGAGCGATCCGAACGCTTCGAACGAACGAACAGTTCCCTCGCGGCCCGACGATGCCGAGGCCCTAAGGCGGAGCCCCGCCCAGCAGCCTGACCGAGCTGAGGAGCTCACAGAGGGCTGCAGCAGCAGCAGAGGGCAGCGCCCATGTCCCTGGAACATGAGACATCTTGAGATGGGGGATTCAGATTGATTTGGAGTCCTTTGATTCGTACTTCCCAGATGCATTGGCAAACCCCCCCATATATGAAAAGATGGCTTGAGGGTCAGCTTGGGCGAAGTGCCCGCACACGCTTTGCTGCACAAGCTGAGCTCATTGAGCCCATTGAGCTTGTGCTCGGGGGGTTCTCATGCACACGGCATCCCTGGGTGGTGCTTTCTGCAGGACATGCCCAGCCCCGAGGTTTATCGGCGGCGTTCGCCTGACCGATCTTTCTAGGCTTGGCCGATCTGCCTGGCTTGATCCCTGAGAAAACAGACGTGCTGAGGTGTTGAGTCGAGGGGTGGTTGAGCCCGTCTTCGATGATTTAAAGCACCATGTCCATTGCTCTTTACTCAAACTGGCTCATCAAGAGGTTTTATTTTTTTCCATGAGCACAGCACAGTCGCCAGGGACTCAGCCTTTAGTTCCAGGACGCTGCGGGGTCAAAAAGACAAACTGCACCCACCAAGGACAGTGATACCAAGTGTATTTTCGCTTCCATGCTTGGTCCATTGCTTGCGAGAAGGTCGGATTGGACATCTTGACCCTGCAAGAGGACGCTTCTTCTGGCCAAAGGGCCGGTAGGAAGGCTCCGTGTGCTCGCCCTCTCGTGGGCCGCTCGATCTCTCAAGCGACGCGTCGTGCACGGTGCACGCGTCGGGGTGCAGCCATGTCATTGAACAAGCACCTGGTGGCCCTCCGGAGGATGATGAGCAAATGCCGATAGCTCGGAATCCAATCATCCATTCCTGGATTCCCTCAAGAAACTATGAGCCAAATGAGTCAGTGGGGCAACAGATACAAAAGCATAGTCATGTCTCCAGAGAATTCCATTCCACCAACGCTGACATGGGCCTTGGTGGAGTTCGCAGATGCAAAAGCACCGGTCGAGTTCATCAAAGATGATGCACAGTCAAAACCTGCAAGAGGGCACCCTGGCCGACATGTTCTTTTGGTTATGGTCCATATGGTTTATCAGAACATCTCGATCTCAGAACCATGTCTTGGTGAGCCCAAAGCCACCCCATACCTTCAGTGATCGCTCCGTTTTGTGAGATCACCCTGTTTGATACCCAAACACCCACTGGCGACACGCCCGTGCTCAGCATATGCCAATTTGAGAAGTCCAAGCTTGGGACGTTCCGTCGATGCAAAAACAAGACAGCGCGCCCAAGCGGGAGCTGCGATTGCAAAACCCCCCAAGTCAAGATGGTTAGCACCCACTTTGGTAGAGAAAGTGGCTCATTTTCCACAACCCGCTTGCTTGGAGGTTTTGTGTGTTTGTGTTTTCAGTAGCGATGGCCCCTCCTATTAGTATCTATTAGTAATATTGCATTTGCAGCGCGACACTGCGTTTGTGCAACTTGGGGTTTTGCCTGGCACTGTGGTGCTGTCTGGAGTTTGCTTGCAATCACTTCCTCCCCTCCAGTCCTGTTTGCCGTTGCTTTAGGCTTCAGACTTTAGACATGCGTGAGATGAGCAGAGAAAGCCTGCGCCTTTTTGGTGCGCCAGATTTGCCACAAGCTCTGAGGATCTAGGTTGCCCTGCATGCTACATTGGAAGTTGCACACCTTCTGAGAAAAGCTAGTGCAACATCTAGGCGCAAATCATCACACATCAATATGTATGTATATGTGTATATATATATATATATGCGTGTGTGTGGAATAATTTGTTCAGCTCGCTGATAGAAGGATAAGCATTCTTGTCCAAGTCAAAGTCTGATTTGATTGGCTCAGTAGAAGATGTTGAGCCTAACGCTTAGGTTGAAAACAGCCTCCATATTGGCATCCAGCAATTGAGAGTTGCCTCGACGCTTGCGCCACGCCATGTATGGCCAGTATGGCCATGGCGATCCAATGCAGCAATGGTTTCCAATGCTGTACCCCCCACATGCTGGCGCACAGTGGATGTCTCAGATGGTGGCCCCTATGCAGCAGTCCCAGCCCCAGATGCAGCAGCAACAGTTTATTCCATTTGCGATGATGCCGCATGCTGCTCAGCAGCCTTTGCAGCTTCCAGGGTCGCAGGCCTCCACGGCACAGCCGTCAGAGCAGTGGTCAGAACAGTGCCATGGCCAGTGGCAAGAGAACCAGTACAATGAACCCTGGCCCAGCCACTCAAGCGCATCAGGCCACTGGCACAGACATGGCAGGCATGATAAGGGCCAGCGGACGTCCCAGTATGATGCTGACCCACACAGTAGCCACGACAAGGGTGATCGGAGATGGAACAAGTACGGGGGAGACCGTGGCGAGAAGGGTGAACGAAAAGGGAAGGCTGAGGCGGGGCTTGTCATTGACAACAAGAGATGCTCTTCTTCAGGTTAGACAGATATGCATGCTGCTGGAAATTTTGGAAGAACCAGGATCTGAGAAGAAGAGTCTGGTAAGAAGCTAACGAACCTGAGCGATTCCCCTAGCACCAACTGCCCAAACGGCGGTGAGCAGCTTTCCAGCCCTCAGTGGTCCGAGTGCGTTTTCGTGTAGATTTCCTGCAGACACAGGGAAGCCACGTTGAGTTTTGCAGTCGGGTTGATCCACTAAATCTTCCGGACGTCCCGTCCACAGGCCAGCGAGAGATGGAAAGGCTCGAAGAAGGACAAAGGCGGGGTATGTTCTTTCTGTTTGTTTTTGCGTATTTAGGGGCCTCTGAGTGATAGAAGCGCTCGATGCAAATCATGCGGTCAAATTTGCTCTAGGACACCAGTGCTTCACGAAAGGTAGGGAGGGGAGCTTTTGGCAAGGGTGAGGCCCTGAAGTGTGGTCCTTTGCTTACTCCGAGGGCGATCAAGCCTCCTGGAATGACCTTCCACCATCGGCCCCTTGACACTGAAATCGTACTAGCTGAGCCTGTAGATGCTGAGATCGCCATGTCAGCGTCAAAAACTTTTCATGAACAGTTGAAGCAAACTTGTAAACTCCAACTTGGCGGAAGCAAGTCATGAGTATAGCAGATCGTAGACCGGTTTTTGACACCGCTCATGTGACCAGGTGGTGTTCGAATATCCAGAAGTAGAGTCAAGGATCACCTTTCTGCCGAGAAACTCGAAAGTCAAGGATTGCCAAGACCCTGCACAGCCCAAGCTGCAACAGCTCGGGGATGTCCAAAGCAAATCCTCGTTCCTCTCAAGGGTGGTCAGGCTCAGGCTAGTGCCCCAGGGCAAGGGCCAAAAATCACTTGGACGGCGAAAACTTGCCAGTCAGATTGTTGCAAGAAGCCTCACAAGCTGGCCTACTTTTGTTCGACAGGTTTTGGGGAAGGCGCGGTGCAACCATCAATTAGGTTCCTTTTAGGGGACACCCGGCTTACGAGTTTGGAAAACTATTCCACAGTTATCATTGGTTGGTTGACTCGTTTGAAAGTGCTTACAATCAACCACCCAACTTCCAGAACATATTATATAAATAGACTATGCTCGTACAGTAGAGCACTCTAGAATCCAGAAATGGAGGGGTATGAGTTTTATATTTCCCCACCTGCCAGGTGAGGGTTGTTAGATTTTATCACAGTTGTTCTTCCTCCGCCTCCGCCTCCGCGGCCTCCTCGTCCTCCTCCTTCCTCCTTCCTCCTTGCTTCCTTCCTCGCCAATCTTCATCGCCAATCTGCTTCGCCGATCTTGTCTGGCCAGCTCCGGATCGCAGTGTGCACCCCTGGACCTCAACCGCAAGGATCCGATCGCAGTGTGCACGCCTGGACCTCAACCGCAAGGATCCGATCGCAGTGTGCACCGCTGGACCTCAGCCGCAAGGATCCGATCGCAGTGTGCACCGCTGGACCTCAACCAGATAGTTTGCCAGAGAAAATCCACAAACACAATCACAAACACACGACCACAAACGCGCAACCACAAACACACAACCACAAACACAATCACAAACCCACAGTCACAAACACAATCACAAACACACAACTACAAACACAACTACAAAGACACAATCACAAACACACAACCACAAACACAACCACAACCACAACACAGCACACAACCACAGCACACAACCACAGCACACAACCCGAGGACCCACAAGCAACATCGAGAACTACAATACTAACGACTATGGCAACATGCTCCTCACTATGGCATCAAGACAAATGATTGAAATGTCATGGTGGGGATCACTCGAAGTAAAGTAATTTTTGCGGAGGTTCCATGTCTTTTGACAAGAGCTGCTCCAGATTTCGGTTTTCTTGAAATTGCCACACATGAGGCGAGTCTAGAAATGATGGGGTTGGTGCAACAACAGATGCTCTGCGTTCTGGCAAGGTCCTACACAACACATTACAACATCGTAGCGGTCGTAGCGCCGCATGCGGCAGGGGCTCGAAAGATCGATTGAAGGCATTGACACAGCGGCAACAGGTAAGAAATCCCAGACCACTCCATGGATGGATCCCTGAAACCAACCCCTCCAATGTGGGTAAAGATGCCAGTCCTGTGGAGTGTTTGGGAATAGCACCAGCAATCAGAACGGGCTTGCTGAGTTATGGAGGCAGCTGTCCCGCATTTCAGTCTAACTGTCTAACCTACTAGCCTCTTTCGTTTTGGCGAAGCTGGCCTCCAGGTACCTACGATGAAGGCAGTGACCAAAAGCAATCCTTCTACGTCTCCAGCTTCTACAAGCAAAAAGACTCTCGGCGCAATAAGGAGCTGATGGATGATCCAGAGAACACAGCAAAATAACGAAGAACACGTCACACCTCTTGTGAACAACTTGCCGCACCAAATACCTATAGATAGCCCATGTGCATCCCTCCTGTCCATCTGCACCAAGGAAGAGAAGAGACCACAACATGAACGGAAACAGAAGCAAAGCGAGATGGATTTGGTCGCGCCACTGGGCTTTCACTGAGCCTCACTGTCCCTGGACTTTTTGGTTGGTCACTTTGTTTCAGTGCATCCCAGTGCACTTTAGCACCTGGAGCCTGAAAAGGCTGCTGAACATCCACCTCTAGAGATGAAAAAGTGTCGCTTTAGGACCGCCTGTCCAGACAAAGCCGGCTTTGGCACAGAAAATCGTCAAGGCCGTAGAGGGTTGTGCTCCAAGTTTCGCGCCCACCTGCCACCTGCGACGAAACATTCGAATGGCCACTGTTTGGGCTGAGCAACTCCTTACATGCCAACCCATTGTTTTCATGGGGTGATAAACGGTTTTGAGAGGATGTGAGTGTCAGGCGCCCAGGCATGCCCAGGCTGTCGCCGCCGCACCGCGCTAGCTCCGTGGTCCAAGGACCGAGACCACCGAGACCGAGGGCAAGAACAAGAAGTGCCCCGACCGCGGCGACGCGCGCGCCCGGCCGGTGCGGGATGTGATCGGTATACGCGGTCAAGAGGTGGAGAGATGGACACCGGGAGCAAAGGGGGAGATTTCAAGATGAGTTGGTCCAAAAACCATGGAGTTGGTTTCCCAGCGATGTGCCGAATTCTCAAGACTAACTCTCTCTTTTTATCTTATTAGATGCCCCTCATAAGCCGGGTTTAAATGCGAGCTCGGCCTCTCAACGTCGGGGCCATCGGCGGGCGATTTCGACATGGTCAGTGGAGTGAAAATCAGCATCCCTGTGTGGCTACCAGTCATTGAATCAGGGGCTAAACGAATTTGTCTGTTTTAGGAAGTTCAGGACAGATTGCAAGTGGAAGACCGTTCGAATGTGATCATGTTTAAGCGGCCATGTTCATTTGGGGGTGCTTTCAATTTGCTTGTGTGTGTCACCTTTCTGCCTGAAATCGAGTATAGGATTGTAACATCTCCCAATTACCACCAGGAGTCACATGGAGTTGGGTGGCGTTTAGCCTTTAAAGCCGGTGGATGTGACAGGAGCACCTTCCTCTCCCTTTTTTTCCTTCCTCCATGGATAGCATCCAACTCCGAACTGCTGGTGCCAAGATTGATCCATTGTGCTTTGTCCAGGAACGTTTGGCGGAGTGGCCGGGTCGAAAAGCAGAAGGCCATGGAAAAGGAGGGACGACAGGAGTACCGAGGGACGCCATGGGCCAGGGGCCATTGGTGACCCAGCAGGACGTGACCATGGATGCGACATGCTTCTTATCCAACAGGATCCAACATGGTTTTGTAGAGCCCAGTGACCACCGAACGGGTACGCCACTCAAGTCCTCTCAACTATATTCTTCAAAATGGAGCATTGATAAGCCATGGCCAAAACTGCTTGCTTTGTTCCATTTGCTGTAGGCACTTATGGTGAAGGTATCTAAGAAATCTAGGAGTGCTTCTAGCCGTTCATAAGGAGTACTGAGCCCCAACTTCCAAGAACCGCTCGCTGACAATGACCACCCAAACCGCCAGGAGACGGCCGCTGCCAGTGCGGCGGCTTCACCGCGACCGGCCGAAAAGCAGGGCGGAAAGAAGGAGAAGAGCGGAGGAGCTGCGCCGGACCTGGCAAAGAGTCGATAGAGGTTTGAAGCAGTTTTTTTTAAAGCATTGGATCGGATGTCCCTTTGCGCCACTTTCTGGATTTAGACTATAAGATTTCCCGGGGCGCTTTTTCTGGATTGAGACTTTAGGCTTCACTGGGTGCCTTTTCTGGATGTCAACAGGAGCAATCGCTAGAGGTAGATTTGTAGATGCTGAAGCTCGGAGACATAGACCATGTTGGAGTCCAGTTGTGAGCCATTTGCCCCAATGAGTCTCCCAAGTCTCCAACCAGTGATGACCTACCTCACTCCCCAGATAGGATGACACACTTCTTGGTTTTGGGATTTAAGAAGACTTTAAAGGGCATCAAGAGTTCAATGTTTTGGAGTGTGTGTTTTTTTTGGTAGGGGTCCCCACCTCAATGGGTTTTGGGTCTATCTTTCCGGGGGTCGAATTGGGAGGTCTCCCTATTTTGATACCCAGCCTCTTGTTGCCACTCTGAGAAACAGGCGCCCGACATGTGTCAAAACCGTGTGCATCACCCTCTCACGTGGCAGGATGGGGCGACGGGCTTACCCGCGAAGTGGCCTGGCAGAGGAAGCATCCCGTGCAGTCGCGCAACTCTGGTGGGTGTTGTTTTGGGAGGGCCGGGGGTAGAAGTTACGCTATATCTTCTGGATGCAACTGTACTTGATTGTATATACTGTAACACGTTTTTTAAAGGTACTACGGTAAACCGTGCTCCTAACCTGATGTTGCTTGGCTTCTCCCGCCATTGAGCCAAACCTGTCTGAGACTGGCTTGTGTGCCACTCTGGGTCAACAGACCTGGCTCAAGAGCTCACAACGCACGAGGTGAAGATCAGCAAGACGTTGACCCAGATCTTGCGCCACAAGGCCGTGGAGTGCCCTGGCCTATGAAATCCATGCGTCCACCCGGCCAGGGATAGGCGTCCAGCAGGGACTCATAAGAGGTCCACTGGATTTTTCCTTCATTGATGTCCAAGGTGCCAAGAATGTGGGCAACACGGGGGAGGGTCAGTTCAAGCCTGCTTCTACCGTATTGTTTCCGTCAGCCTCACGTGTCGTCAGGCACCTGTCGGCTGCGACCTGATAGGTGTTGAGAGGGGACCCGAGTCAGACAGGATGGGACGCTTTGGCATTGTTTCCCATCAAGAGACCGCACCGCAAAATTGAAACATGTCGGTGACCAAACTGACAAGAAGACAATGAAGATGGTGACCACAAGACGAGTGTGATGACCATTTTGACAAGAAGATGGTGACCAAAATGACCCAAGAGCCCCTGTGTGAATGAGCTTTCTTGCGAGCATCATCTCCAGCTGCCTGTCATATACCAGGTAGTTCTCTATAGGTGCTCGTGGCACTACACACACCACCCCGGAAGCTGCTACCTCCCCAAAATTTGGCGACCACGACCACAGGGGTCTCCTACTATATATATATATATATATATATACCTGCAACAGTCGGTAAATTGGTAAACAAGAGCATTTCTATTGCAGGGCAAGGCCTGGAACCTACTGCAACCATTGTCATCCACTGAAACCAGAGAATCGGACCTGCTGCAGCCCTCATAAGCGATGCCTCAGGCTTAAGATTGACATTGGTCGTGATGGATACTGTGGCCTGGCATGGGTTTAATGCACGTTTGTATCTTCTGCCAGGTCCGATCCCATCGCCACAGCAGCGAATCTGAGGGGTTTGGAACATACCCCTGGTTTTTGTGGTGAGTGCCAAGAGTTGATGGATGGGGCAGATGGAGTGGGCAGATGAGGCATTTGGATTAATCACTCCCATCGGATGACGGAGTGGAGGAAGGGCGACTGAACCATGGGGTGCGTATCCTACGTGATATGTAGCGGGCCTGCCTTTGTAGAGTAGCTCCGTGGAAAAGGGTCAAACATAAATCGATATAAACCACCCCCGTTTCGAAGAGCCAGCCTTTGTGTGGGCTTGGAGCTTTGTACTCTGCCAGGGTCTGATCCCATCGGAGCGAATCTGAGGGGTTTGGAACACACCTGTGACGTTTGACCGTCGCTTGGACGCTCAAGCACTCGTCCATGTAAGCGGGGTCCGTAGGGCGGGGGGATCAAACCTTGATGGGATGAATTGAGGGGTGTCCGTGTGCTATTGCGTTGTCTAAAGGTGTCCGTCTGCCACAGAGCTTCCTCCACTGGAACCTGCCTGCACTTCTGCGGAGTTGGATGGCGGGAGCTTTGTCATAGCTCACTCAGGTTCGCTTCGTGCACTTTTGCAGTGCCCCTGGCACCGGCCTCAATGCGACCTGTGCGGCGTGCTGGCAGTGAGAGTTGCAGCTCTCTTGGATATCCCCAGACCTTGCGGCCCCAGGCGTTGCTCATGAAAATGATGCTAAACCTCTAGCCAAAACACTGGTGCAAAGAGAAAAATCGATCTTCCAGATGGTCATTTTCTAGTTTCATGGCAGTGGTCCGGAGGTAATCTGTGACACACTTCTTCCATTACGCACTATGAAATCCATCCTTTAACAGTAAACATACACAGGTTCTTGGCAAAGCCGCCGGGCCCCACCCGAGACAATGCAGCCATCCAACCACAATAAACCACGTGGACCGGCTCCAAAGACCGACCGAGCCCAGAAGGCTCAAGGAGTTGCCCTGAGCCGTTGAGGTTGGCGGAGTTGGAGGTTCAAGAAGAAGAGGTGCAGCAAGTGGTGAGGGACCTCGGTTGGAGTTGGATTCTGTCAACTGGTGTGGCACCTGCAGGTTGGATTGCATTGAAGGCACCACCAGTGACTTCAAATCCATGGCTGTGAGAGGAGGAATACCGGCATGGCTGGGCCGAGGTCGATGATCAGTCCCCTTCTCCGAGGCAAAATGAAAGATCCTCAGGCCTCAGGGAATTCCCACAGATATTGGTATAGTAATATTTGTTCGCCGATGGTGAAGGAATGTCTGGGCCGTAGGATGCTGTAGCCTTTTGATCCAAACTCAGTACAGCATGAGCCAAGGAGAAAGGCTTGTGATTTTGAGTGTCGCCAGCGGTTGACATGAAAACCCACGGAAGTTGGTGTGCAGCAATTGGATGTTCCTCCCTAAGAGTGGCTGCAGTGAGTGTCAAAGTCTGCTACACTTGGGGCGCTCGGATGTTCGGAGGCTGTTTTTGATAGAAATTCACCGTAGTAGGTGTCCTTTGTTACTTTAGACTTAGATCTAAAGCTTCATGCTTCTAGCGTTTCAATGCTCTGAGAGTGCTCCGGGAATGCCCACCGCCTGGGGGTCCTCTCCGGGCAGCTTGGAAACGCCAGCTCCCCATAGTCTTCTTTCAGCGGCCAAGGTCAAGAAAAGCGACAAGAAACGCTTCGAATTGACTCTTGACCTTGTGGCCTGCCATGGCCTTTCAGAATGATTGGTGCGACTTCTTTGCTTGATGAATGTTGCCATTGAAACCTTGCAGGATCTTGGGAAGTTGTGAGTCTCACAATAACGCTTTTGTTGCACGATGGGGGGAAAGGTTGCACGGCGAATCCACAGACATCCTCGAGTTTCGACTCGATGCCATCTCTAGTGCACCTCTCTTGGCCTTTTGGGGGACTTTCCAGTTTTGGTGTACTGTGTACTTAGCCGTTCATTCCACTAGGACAAGTTTTCTTGAAGTTTCCACATTGACAACCCTTTCAGACCCTTTTCCCTTAGAATCCTGCAATTCACTTAGGGCACCTCAAGCAGTCGAATTTCGTTCCTCCAAAGCCTTCTCAATGTGGTTTGAAAGTAACAAGAGGGTAAATACTATTGAACGAGTTTGACCACGCAAAGTTGATTGCCTATCCGAGTGCGGCGGATCAACATAGATGTGGCAAGACCCGGGATGAAGAACGGACTTTCTTTCTCCTGAAGTACTGCCAGTTTGTGCGATCACATGGAGTTCTGGCTCGGAAGTAGTGATGTTGCGGCCAGGTGTGCCTTTTGTCATCGTGTTTGTGGTTGTTTTTGGATGGGAGGTGAGGTGTTATTTATTGCTGCCTGCCTCGTCGTTTCAGCACATTCTACGTGATACCGGACGGACCAACAAAGCCTATATTGGTCATTCTGGTCATGAACTGTCTTTGCGGTCTTTGAAATGTCGTGGAATGATACTGAGTGAGTTTTGCAAGAAGGAGCTGGCACGGCAACATCCGAAAAGCAAGTTTGAGGAGCCTACGCGAGGGACTTGTTGCAATGGAGCTCGCAGGCACGCCACACAGGTGGAGTATAACTTCAGCAGAGATGGGCGCAAAATTAAGTGCAAAAGCGCACAGATGTCTTGGGACAATGCTAACAAGGTTTGGCGTTTGCTCTTTCACGGTGTCAAACTGCCATGCCCGAGTGTTCGGGACCAGGCTCCATTTGATGACTTGTATCTAATCATGTTCAGCCCAGACAGCTTGCACATCATCAAGCACGACCTTGAGACCGGGGTCAGATCAGCTGGCAAGCGAACAGGAAGCATTGGTCATCAGATTTCTGTTCAAGGCGCCCGAGGGCAAGAATGTTGGCAACGTGCACGCTCGCAAATTCTCGACAAGTTTCTCACTAAGGGTCGCAACACGCTTGTGGCTCAGAAAGATTTATCAACCATGAAAGTCAGAAGCTGGCTCACACAGCAAATGCGAGCAATGACTGCACTCCATGACCACGAATACCAAGGGGTGCCGCTGAGCCACATGACGCCAACGGTGCGTGGCTTGCGAATTGAGCAAATAGCATTTGAAGTGGATCAATGTCTTCATCCAAATTGTTCATTTGTGAAGTGCTCTTCTTCTGGTACCGCGGACTGGCTTCGTGGAGGGGTTAGGGTGGAAATCAAGCACGGGCAGATGCTCCTCAACAAAAAAGCTCAGTTCTGGCGTTGCAAATTCCAACGCATCAAGTGTGCACATGAGGGTGTTCGTGACATGGACAGTTATGATGAGCTTTGGCTTGCCATCTACAGCCCCTTCGGCATTCATTTTCTGAAACATCCCGGTGGGAAAGTCCACTTTTGTGACACAGGTGTAGGACAGCAGGCGTTTGGAAGTGACATCGACATCTACGCGCCCAAGCATGTGCTGGATGTGAGGGAGGCCCTTGATGAAATGCTGAGAAAAATGAAGGAATGGGGCTGCCAACCTCTTGCAACAATTCCTTGGTGCTCTCAGTTCTCGGCATAGATCCCAATTCGTTTTATGACAGCTGTGGTGCTACGTCCACGCCCGTAGAAAGTTCATCTAGAACTGAATGCATAAGCTCTATACTGCACAGAACGTCCTGTCGAATGAGAAACCTCAAGGCCTGTGCGAAGGCTGCTCCAGCGTGGTCACGGGCTGGCGCTGCACATCCCCCCTGGCACTGTGGGTTCCAAACGAATCTCTTTGCATGTTCAAGGTCTTAATGGCCTAAGCTCCAACCAAGCTTCAAAGTCCAAAACTGATGTGTTTCGCCAAGCCTTTTTGCATGGATGTGTTGTGAGATGTTCGTGCACCATCTCTAAGCTCTATGTCTATGTAGCTTGAGGCGACTATCCCAATTCCGGCAGCGCATCAATCTTCATGGACCTTTGATCAGAGCCAGGTGTGGCATGATGAAAAGCAAAGTGTAAGATGATAGTCCCGCAGCCTTATTTCCACCATGAAATGCTGATGTGCTCCACTGCACGGCCGTATTTAAAGAGGTTTGGTCATCAAGGTGGGAACTCTACAAGTTGGGCCTTCCAAGTCAGAACACACAGATCCCGTGCTGATGGACCACGCTGGACCTCCCAAACACCTTCAGGAATAGGACAAGTTCATGACAAGTTCATGAACTTATTGTTTGACCTGCCTCTGAACATCTCTGAATCCATTCATTCTGTTGAGATTTTCTCAATTGGGTTCTTAAGTCCATGCCTCCCCAAATGCCTTGCGAGCAGCTTCTACCACTTTTTGCCGATCGTTTTTCAGAGGAAAGAAGACGACGGGGAGCTGCTGATCAGAGCGGTACAAGGACATTCGATCAAGGCGACGACCGCTCGACCGCTCAAGGCATCGATCAGCGACCTTTCGATGGAGGAACGTGATGCCAAGAGATACCAAGCACCACGATCGGTGCTCACGTGGAATCAAGACAACCTTCCCCGGAAAAAGAGCATGAAACTGTGAGACACCATCGGTTTCCGATCAATAAACAACATGTTTCAAGGCATGCTTTCTAGCTAAAAGCTGTTTGATGCTTTTTGTGTGGAAGCAATCTTGATTTTACAACATCAGCCCAAAATGGACACCTGATGCTTTGGACCATCCCAGGTGCGTTGGGGGTTGGTCCCAACTGGGGCTCAGTCTTGCAACAGGGTATGTTGACTTTGGGAGTGCACTTCCGCCACGAAAATCACGCTCCGGAAGATTAACATGGAACATGGAACCTGAAGACCGCTGGGTATTGAGGAAAATAGGTCTTCCAAAGAACCATTTCCAGGTTCCATATTAATCTTCCCGGGCAAGTCCAAACTTTCTTCTATATAGTGCTTTTGACAGTTGGAAAGCGTGCTGGATTTCCCATCAAGACCAGAACCGACGTTTACTCTAGGAGAGTCAGGACATGTCAGGACAGTGACTTGGAACAAAAGGTTATTTTTGAATTCCAGTGATTTGAGCCAAGTAGGTGGATTTTCCAAGGAGAGTGCAATGGGTGTCTCAAGTATTTGGCCAAACCACTCAAATCCCAGTTGTGGCAATTCACATCACTCGAGTCATTGGCTGAGACCGTGGATGATGATCAGCTGTTGCAGAAGTTGGACCTGGAAGACACCAACTTGCCAAACGTTTGCGTGCAACTCGCCGTGTACGTTGCCGGTTCCGTAGCGCCTGGCTCGCCAACTCACCCTGCACATGGGGTTCGGGGTGGAGGAGAGACATTGGTTTGACCTCCCGGCCTTGCTTGGAAGGAGATGACTGGTGGATCAGATCTTCAAACCACCAGCTTTGCAAACATCAAGGGAGATTGTTTGTTGAGACTTGGTGCCAGGCCTATCCAAGCACTTCCAAAATGGAAGCCTGGTCTGTGTTGTTAGTCCATGGACCTCTTGGATGGTCATGCTAATCTCAAAATGATAAATGCCCTTGTGGTTCACCCATTTTTGTCAACCTTTTGATCTAGGCATCCAAGCCCCAGGCCCAACCTCGTCATCCACAGTCTTTTCCTTGATTGCTGTCACCGGTCTCGCCGCATCCTGCAGCTGCTCTCGAGCCCAGTCATGAGTCATGGAGGAAGCCACCCATTACTGAAGGTCGGCGTTGGATGAACATGAGGCCGCTGGATGAACAGCTTGCAAATCAGATGGTCTTTGCATGTCTTTTACGTTCCTTAGTCCCCGTCCGACAAAATGGAACATCCTTTGGTATGGGTCATGACGAATCCTTCCTTTTCAATGCAACAGCGGGTAAAGCTCTAAACACATCCAACCCACTGCAGTAGAAGTGACAGAAGAACACTCTACCACTAAGTGCCCATGCCATGCGAACACGCCCACCCAGGATTTCCAACACCCTCCAACACCCCGATTCAACCGGATGATTGGCTCCCCACCCAACGAAAAACACCAACATCCCTCCACCTCCAGGGTAGCCTTTATGCCCTTGAGCCGCTTGAGCCGCGTTCGTGACACCACCGGACCTCCCCATGTGGCGGGCGACCTCCACCGTCTCTGCGCTGCTGCCAGTTGCGCGCCGACAGCGAGGCGGTCGGGGACCGATAATGTCATATCGCAAGTAGCAGCAATGGCCTCCAACCTAGAATCGATGGCCTCCAACCTAACAATGGCCTCCAACCTAATATCTAGCATGATCTACAGAATGAGGATTTCTGGTGGGCAACCAGCCAAGCAGACACATGGACCAGGTTTTGGGTTGGAGTCATGAGTCTATCTACCCATCAACCTCTGAACCTCAGCCCGAGCCCACGACCCGAAAACCCAGAAATCGGACGCACGAAGCAAGTCGGTGGGCAAGCAGCTCATGGGAGCTGACCCTGTGGCTATGCATCAGCAGCAGGGGTCGTAGACCAATTTCGCTTTGAGCTGCAAAAAGTTATACCTTGTGGTCGATGACATTGGAATCCAGGGATAAGGCACCACCAACGTCGATAGATGTCGAGAGGAGATCCATGGTCATGCGCACCACCTCCTGCATGCGCGCCACTGTTTTTGCTGCCATGTGTCATGCCTAGATCCACTCGGTGTTTTTGTGAAGTCTAACCAAAAGCACCAGAATGGAACGGTTTTCGTCGTTTTCTTCGACAGTCTTTCGTCGTTGATGTTTTTCTCCGAAGTCTTCCGGAGTCAGTTTTTGGGTTGTTTTTCGAGCCTGCAGGGCCGACAAGGAGCTGCGGAAGATGCATCAGCAGCCGCTGGAGAGAACTCGGTCGGAGAAAGAGCCTTTTGCAGGCGCAGACAAAGCAAGACCATTCATAAGACACACACCCTGCCACCTACCATCATGGCCCTTCCTCACAACAAGCGGCCCATGTGGTCCGGAAAATCCTGGTACATCTTTGAGGTCGCTGTGAGGATCCAAACATGTCAAAACCCTCCAGCATCCTACCGGTCCTACAGCTATGAGGATCCTTTCTGAGCCTGTGGGTGATGTAGATCCTGCAAATGTTCCCCCAGCATCATGTTGATCCTGCACCATCGGTCGTGGCAGTTTGGAAGAGTCTGGGTATCTTCGAACTTTGGAAGCCTCCCTCTGGAATGGTCGTTTGGCATTCGCCTCGTGCAGCGCTTTTCACATCGGTTGTGGCTTAGCTCATGGGTCAGGAGCCGAAGAAGGAGATCACAACCATCACGGATGGGTTGAGGTATTGGATGTGTTATTTGTTGATCCATATTGATCCATGCGTCGGTGCAGCATGTAACGTAAGGTATCATGTAAGTGATAGGTGGCGCCGGAAGATGTTTCTTAGAACAAAACGATTTGGTGAACCCGCAGTTTTCCTGAAAAATGAGGTGGCACCAAGCTTTCCGTGGGATCACACCTTGCATCCCCCATCGCTGATGTTGTGATTTGAGGTGTTGCTGTTTGGTGATGTTTCTTGGTGTTGCCAGGTGGTGTGTGTGTGTGTGTCGGGTCTTGCTTGTTGGTTATTGTGTTGCTGGCACCTGCTGAGACCAATTGTTGCCCCCCCCCCAGCCATCCAATGTTTCAAGGCCCTGGAAAACTGGTCACGTGGGACGTGGGAGTTGGAGATCCCAATTCATGTTGTATATTATGTGTTGTTTTATTTTTTCCGGTATACATGAACTTACCACATGTCACTTGTCCGGGCCCACAATTTGCGACATGCAAACGGATCCTAGAAGGCCGAGGCAACCAATGCCATGCACGAATGCGCAATCCAAAGACGTTGTCGATACGACGGAGGAACACATGCTGACACAACCTGCGCTGCATGCGAATCTAGTCCTGTTGCAGGGAAGACAGCCATTGCCGTCACTGCAAGTGCTTCGACGGTTGGCCGCTCATGAAAAGCGCCGCGTCGAGCATGGCCATGAGCAACTTCTTTGGAGGGTGGTCACAGGCCGTATAGCCACATGTTTGTTCGTTGTGGTGCGTTGTGGTGCGTCTGGAACTAGACAAGTACAGATGAAGGGCAGGCCAGTGATGGAAAAGGGCCGCTGGCTCACTTTTGACCCTTGCTAGTGCAGCATGCAAGGTGTTCCTGTTTGACGATGTCTGTTGGTGTTGCCAGGTGGTGATGCGTCGGATCTTGCTTGCGGTTGTTCTGTGCACCTGCTGGGAGCAGTTGTTGCCCCAGCAACCCGATGATTCAAGGCGCTGGCAAACTGGTCATGTGGGAGTTTGAGATCCCAAGCAGGATTTCTATTGTGTTTCTTGTAGGACTTGTCGCAGCTCACTCTTTCCCAGCGAGGGCAACGAGCCAGGCTTCAAAGGCTGTGTGCGAACGACCGCCTAGACGGCAACAAATTCCTTTAGATAAGCCTCACGAAGGAACACATGCTGACACCATCTGCGCTGCGAGTGAATCTAGGCCTAATGCAGGGCACACAGCCATTGCCACCGCAAGAATTGCGCGCCTGCACACATGTTTCAACCGTCAGCCGCTCATATAAAATACCATGCTGGTCCACTGGGTGGCCAAAAAGGCCTTGTAACCACAGTGGCAGCTATTGTGAATTCCGGACAGGCTGTTCATCAACAAAAATGACAAAATGACTATTTACAATCATGGAGAGGGGTTTTCTACGGAGAACCCTGCCAAGGCTACCAATGTCATGGACAAGGCGAGTCAAGCGCCCCAAAGCATTGAACCTTTCAAAGATGTGGTAGGTTTGTCTTGCTTCACATTGGACATGAATGCGTATTCCACAGATGGCGCGTATGTTGCGCGTGGTCAGGTTGAAGCGGTTGTGGCACCGGAGTTGCTGCGGTGGCGGCGGCACCCCAGCTTGGCCCTGGATGCCCTGCAAGAGTGGGATGGCCCGGGTGAAGCCCAGTCGAATCGTGTAAACGAAGCTGTTGATGGTTTTTTGGTTCGAGATGCGGCGAAATCATTGCAAAACCCTTGGCGCTGTGGCAGCCGAACCTCCTTCGAGGTGCGCGGCCCACCGCCCTGACTTGGTCAACGTCCTGTTACAAGTGATCAGGCCCAAGTGTCACGCAAATCGATCAAAGACTTCCCTAACACCACCCACTGGAGCGGGTGGCTTTGGGATGCAAAAACATCAGGGGCTCTCCAAAAACACACTCTTTTGGTGGTCCTGGTGGTGCTCTAGTCTGTTTGGGGGACCAATTGAGGTGCGATGGGTTTGTGCTCACAGCCATGAAGACGCGTTGCAATGTATTTTTCATCATGGCCAGGGGTAATTTTGTACGCACCGGGTGCTGAAAATTATGTTGTAGATGAGATGGTTCTTCGACTGATCTCACTTGGTCCTTGGTGAGAAGAAGACCTGACGTGCCATGAGTTTGCTTTGCCATGATGGACTTGGCCCTGGCAGGCTCCACGCAAACCTGGATGTCCGCCATTGCTACTCACCTGCAAATGCAGCATGTTGCGCGATAGCTTCAGTGAAAATTTGAACATGCAGGATCCACTGCCAGTTGGCTGACATGTCTGCTTTTCGACAGAAGCACCATGCATGTTTCGAAGTTTTATTGGAGGAACCATTGCCGTTGCATTGCTGTCCCAAGGCAACGCGGCTATTTCATCCTTGGCTCGGAAGAAGCACTGGCAACATGCGCTTGGGATCTTCGACGAGATGCTCGGCAGGTGAAAGGCGTCGCGAAAGGCAGGCAGGGCTTCCAAGTTTTTTTTTGAACAATCCCTGGTCGACATCCGAAAATTCCTGGTCGAGGCAATGGCAGCTTCTGACTGCGCCAGTTTTGAGAGGGTAACATCCATGTACCATTCAAGAGGCCTGAAGGCCAACGACTCTCGCAGCTGGGCTCAACTGAAGCATGCAAAGTCCTAGCATGCCTTTACAACCTCGGTTCTGCACTACTGGCTGAAGTGTTCGTGCTAGTTTTGTGCAGTTACATGCGATTTGATGCGTGTTCATGATTTGTCAGATGGAGGAGGCATAACTGCAGCTAGATGCATCAACCCCGCAGGAACCATCTCCCACTAAGGATGCTCCGAAACGATACTCAGAGTGTCACATGTTCGGCTCGACCTCCGTCCTTCAAGGATGCCTGCCTTGGCGGTGAGCCCCACAGTGGTGAGCTGCCCGGGTGCAGCGGTCGAGTGGACGAAGCTGTCGAGTGGAAGGGTCAGATGGGAGGGGCCTCCGACCCTCATGGGGTGTTTCCTTCCCCATGCGCGACCGAGAAAGTCCTTTCTCCTTGGAGTTGGCGGATAGGTTGGAAGTGTATTTTTTATCATTGCGTCCTGATTATATACCCATGTTAGGTAGAGCTGATTTCGCACAGGCTCTACACCTTCCTTGCACCACGTGCAGGTCCACATCCACCAGCCACAGAAGTGAAACCCTTCCGTGATCCACCACCCTTGCCCCTTGGCACGTTCGGCCAAGAAACGCTACACCCAGGCTTCAACGCGGCCATCAGCAGCTGTGAGCGTAGAGGGCTTTGGCCCATGGCTTTGCAGTTCTTCGCAGCGATGGAGGCTCGTGAGCTGCAGCCTGACGTCATCAGCCGCTAGGTGCTGGCAGCTAGGGGGTTGATTGGATGGAGATGCTGTGAGGAGTTGTGGAAGTGATAATGATATTAGAATATCAGTTATCAGTTGTTCCGTCTCCGGTTTTGCTCAGATGGCCTCTTGACCACATCAAGGCAGCATGTATTTTTATTCGGTGAGGAAAGGTAAATGGTCCCTTCAGTCCCTTCGCTTGAGTGAGGTCACAATGCAGGGATCAGTGCTTGTGAGAACCTTGGCTGTATGTGCCGGGGGCGTGGCAGGTTGCTTGTTCTTGGATTTGAACCCTCGCCGCGATACCCAGGTTGCGCAGGATATTGAAATATGTAGAATCCTTTGCCTGCAGCTGAGATCTGATCTGAAGGGGCCCATGTATGCAACACACCTCATAGAGCCTCTTCACAAGTAACTAACCCATGTGGCGTCAATGGGCTCCAGGAAGATTTGTTGTATACAGTTTGTGGAGTGAAACCAGTTACCATTGGGGAGGGACAGTGATCACATGCGATCACCCATTCGTATGATCCTTCGCGTGTGTATTATGCTGGGCATATCTCACCAGTATACTCATACCAGAGCCCAGTCGAGGATGCTTAGGAAAGACCTTTCTGCAAAATCGTGATCATTTTTGTCCCCCTGCCACTGGTCATGGAATACAACTTATATGCAGATATAAGAAGAGGACGGCCTTCCGAGCGAACGAGGAAGGGCTCCAGCTGGATCATGGCTTGCCAGATATTTCATCGCATGTGCGAGGCCTTGTCCAATGGGAAGGGATGGGAGAGGCTTACAAGAAGAGCTGAAGCACGCCGAAACATTTTGGGACTCCAATTCTGGCAAAGCAACGCCAGGATTTGCATGAGTGGTAGGTGTGAGAACCTCAGCTTTGGGCTTTGTCTACTGTAGAGGGGGCGCCAGAAAGGTTGGCGCTTTAATTTTGAATCCCTTTTGATAGGCTCTTTTTTGTCCCTTTGTTGCGCATTTGGCTTGGAATTTATATATATATATGGGTTTCCCAACCGCTTCGAGCCCCCTGCAAGTGCCAGAAAACCGGAGGCCGTTTGGAGGGCCACACTTCTTTGACCCATATCTATACCAATAGGGATCCCCAGTGCCACGAGCAGCGCCCCAAAGGTGAGGCTCTCGCCCACGAATGTGAGCTACAGCGCGCTGATCACGGCGTTTCAGACGCTTCAGCTGAAGGAAAAGGCATCCAGGAATCCAAGATGTCCATATATAGGTGGCACATGCTAAAGTGGTCGAGGTTGTACTCGTATCAGCTCTTCTTGGAGGCCTGGCCTCTTCCGATGGGTAGAGTCTGGGTAATTAATTGAACAAATAAGGTCATTGTCCTAACTGATGAGCTTCAGCTACCTGTGGAAAGCCATCATCCCAAGCGCCATCAGTTACTGCTGCCCCAGTAGCTCCCACAAGCTTCCCCAGGAAAGTGGCCCACTGGACCTTGGCCCTGGCCTCGTTGAATGAGATCCCTGACCCCGACGTCGTGTGCTACAACACCACGATGACCGCTTGCGACTCTCGGTCCACTCGGCCGGCGAGCAGGGACCAGCTCTACAAAGGCAAAGGTCGCATGAGCAGCCCTGACTCCTATCGGTGCATCCTCCCCAGCATGGAACAAGGATGAGACATGCATCCCCAAAATGATCCAACATGTATCAGATCTGGCTTTGCAGGCAAGGGGACCGAGGAGCATCGGCCGATCTCGAAAACGGCGAGATGAAATGAAGGTCGTCAAAGGCCTGAACGTTGAGGAACGCCTCTAACCTGTCTACCAGACTGTTTACTCTCATGAATGTAGTCCTGAAATCCAACAAGGCCTTAAAACAAAAGAAGTTGTGGTGATTGTTAAATTGCAGCAGGTGTTTTGTTGGAGGGTGCTGCTTTGTCCAGATCCCAACGCAACCTTCCTAATCATAAAGGAAGAAACATCACTCGGACTTGGAGTCTTTCCTTTGGTTTGGGATTCTATTCTTCTTGTTGCCCAGTACATTTGGCCCACCTCGACCAGATATACAATACAGATCAACGCAGTACGGGTTTTTAATGATTGACCGCGTGACTCTCATGCTTCACCGGTGTCAACCACAAAGGTGCCGCACCTGTGATCACTTCGCCAATCTGCTTGTGCATTGGGTGGACTCCTTTGAGGAGTCCCATGAAGCTGCTTACTTACACTGTATGTTCAGGCATACAGTACGTGATATGATATGGCATCGGCTCCATACCATGTCCATCCATCCAACTCGAACACCGAGGACCGCGGCAGCGCTTGGCCTTGGGCCTTGCAGCTCTTCGCCGCCGCGCCGAGAGCGACGCGCAGCGCCTCGAGCTTCGCAGCGGCCATGGAGGCGGCGGAGAAGGCGACCTGGAGCCGATGAGAGCGGGGCTGTGGTGAAGTAGTTGAAGGAAGACATGCAGAAAAAGATAAACACATGATGATATAATTATCATGATATTTATGGGGAATACACTGGCCAGAAGAAAGTTGCGCTTCTTGATGTTGAAACTCATGACA